GAATTCTGACATCTTACACAAGGCTCGAACATTCCTAACACAAAATTCCTGAGCAGAGAAAGGAGGGTCGTTTCAATGGAATAATAATTTCATGCAGAACGATTACCTATCTCCTCCCGCGTGTTCTAAAGAGGTAGGGAGCTGGAAGATTTATTTTAAACGAATGCAGACACCCGTTCCGTGTCCGTATTGCACCAAGTTCCATAAATATTTCTTCGCACACCTCCGAATCATAATGTCATTGTAGTTCACGGGGGTGCGCGCCCCTTTTGTCGATCCTCGTTTGATTCGAGGACAAGCACCAGGATGGAAGACTTCCGCGGTGTGTTTGGGCGAAATTCAAAGGAACCTCTTCTTAAGGAGGAGAAGAAGAAGAAGAAGGGAAGACATCGTTGGCTTTGAGAAATTGAAAAACTGTCACCACTCTTCGTCTTATTTTTTTCTCTCTTACCACTACTCCTCTTCTATTCTTTCATTTTCCTCATTTTTCGCGAAATTTATACACGAACAGGTCTCCATCGATCGATACAAGTATCAAATTTACCATTAATCATTCAAGAGTAGATCGCTTCGAAATTATCTGCATCCTCTTGTGGCTGTTTAGTCACTGTCAATGCTACTTTGTCACCCTTTCATCTTTTCTGATGAACTTTTGTTTCTTCACACGTGATTTTTTATTCTTTATTTCAATTATTCCAGGGTGAATTTTACAATCCTCACTCTATTAACCTTTCTTAACAAGAATTGACACAACTTTGTTGTATTTGCTTTTATTAAAGATTTTTCTGCTACAAATTTTCAATTCAATTTTTCGATAAACTTCATTGAAAAGGCCACATTCCTAAAGATCATGATATACAATATTTAATTTCTCTATTAAACTTGATAAAAAATTCACTTACATTTTTTAAACATATCATATTAAAAATAAAAGAAACCAAAACGTTTGATTAAAATTCAAAACAAAAAGATTCCAATCATTTAAAAATACAGATTGAAGAGCTAATTCGATACAATTTTATATCGTCTTTCAATAATTTTCGTTTCGTTTCAATATATCAAGAATATTTGAACGATTCATCGTCGTCATCATTTTTATTGAAAAACATTTTACGTGCTTGTTCATTCACCACGATTTTATTTCCACAGCGTAATCCGTTGTATCATAATCAAGCGACTGGAACCATAATCAGTAATCAAAGCCTGGTACTGCAGAGCGTGACTCGCAGTAGAGCTGGGATCTACACGTGTATTGGCAGCAATCAGGAAGGCGATGGAGAGAGCAATCCACTGAATCTGGACATCAAATGTGAGTATATTGGCTATTCATCTTGGCAGTTGCAGTTCTTTGAGTGGAGAAATTGTATCGTGCTTGTTGGAGTTTGAAATGTTGGCATCTTTAATTTTCAATTGATATCACTGGATAACCGTGACAATATACATTAAATTTAAATTATTTTCTTTTAACCTAGACTTTGTACTTAATTATATTTTGCATCCTGTGCAATATATAAATATAGTTGACGAAAAAAAAAAAATACAAATTAAAATTTTTAAGATTTTTAATTTATTTCAATAAGATCATTTAAACGAATTCGAAATATTAATGTATGTTAATTTATATTCCCTTTGTCGTGATTATAAAATCACAATATACATCCTTATTTTGCATGAAATAAATGAACACCTATCGTTATTGTTCCTAATATTAATTATCTTTATATAATTTAATATAAATAATCAATATTAAATTATCTAGATATATATTTCGTTAAACAAAAATTATTTACAATTATTGCGTAAAAATATCGTGAAGGAATTCAAATAATATATAAACAATTTCTACTTTTAATTAAAAGTCAGATAGATCGGCATAAATGAATAAAACGATTGTACAAAAAAGACCGTTTTATCTTTCTCGCGTCTTTTTGCCAATGTCTCTTAAAAACGTCGCAATGTGATAATAAAGGAAAGATATTATGAAAGTCCTAATTTTTCAAAATTTTACAGGCAATACGTTTCTTGCAACTTTGTTTCATTAAAAGTTTGTACAACGATGTTACGAGCAAAATATTACCGCGATTCGATCTTTCTAAAGAAATTAAATTAAACGGGGAAAAAAAGTTACTTACAAAAAGTTTACTCGTAACAATATAAAAACCTAATCTTAAAGAATATATATTAAATATATTTATATATCTTTTTCCTTTAGATAATTTCAATTATGGAAATTAATCGTAAATAAAATCCATCTATAATAATTCTTCTTTAACGATTAACAAGTATCAAAAATTACCATGAAAAATTTAGGATTGCGTAAATAAAATATTTATCAGGGAATAAATATTTAAAAATAAAGATAGAATACGAAATACAATTCCTGTAAAATTCTATTGCAAATATTTAATGGAATAAATGAAAATAAGGATCAAAGTGAAATTATCAAATAATACGCGCATACTAATTCCCCCTTTAAATGGCAATCATCGAAATTAAAGTTACATTTAATAAACCACACTTGCGCAATTCGCAATATCATCAAACACAATAGAATCTCGATAATCACGCGATTACAAAAGATAACTGGAACGAGATTCAAAGAGCAAAGGAGGGGCATTTCGGTAATTCAACGATCCCGGAATGTGGTAATCCCGGCTCATCGCAGAAATATTTAGAAAGTAAAGTACGTTTCTCTAACTTCTCTAGAGACGGTATTATGTACAACGAATGAAGAGATTGTTACGATTCCAGCTTTGCGAACTTATACTCGTTCGGCTAAAGAGAGAATTGGATTGTAAGATGAACAGGGAAAGGGAGTGTGAGAGGGGGGAGATGATGGTTGAGAGTGTAAAGGTGGTGCTGGCGTGGCCACTAAAAGCATTCAAGGAAACCGACTCGTAACAACGTGCTTTTACCACGTAATGAAACATTTAACGAGAGACGCGTATAAAGCTAAAACCCCCAACGTCTATCACAGACGTCGTAACACAATGCAACGTTGTTCTGAAAGCAATATAACATTATTTTTGCGTTAACAAAGTCTTCCTCGGTTCCACTTCAATCCGCCATTACTTTCATTTTTTCTTTTCTTTTCTTTTCTTTTTCGACGAACAAAGATGGCGTAAATGAAATGCGCAATATAATTCCGCTTTGTAGTATTATTTTTTGGAGCTACGCAAAGCCAGGTTAATTTTGTTTCGGAAACTGATCTGACAAATGGAGATAGTGGAGGGATTTTTTTCATCGAATCTTTGTTAATTGAATTTCACGAAAGGAATAATATGATTCTCGTGTCGCAACGTGGAGGGAAAACAAGAAAGCAAGAAAGAAAGAAAGAAAGAAAGAAAGAAATCGTGATTTCGAGAAAACGGTACAGAAATATTAGACAATGGAAACGAGTAATACGATAAAACGAGGGACGAAGGCTGACATAAGGAAAAATGAAATTTCCACAAGTGAGAATAGACGGATTTCAAAATGTTCTCGAACGAAGCTTTCAACGTCTCGATAATCTTCTAGAGCTAGAATTTTAAAGGACATATGTCACAAGTCTAGAAATGGTAGTTGTAAAATGAAACTGAATTATAGAATTATCAAAATGAAAATATAACACGATGATATACGAATTTTACGAATAATCGATGTATCAAATCTTGTATAAATGTGATTTGCGAAATTATAAATACTACTTCTCTTCAGTTTTGTGTTCGATATAAAAATTTTAGAAAATGCTATTGAATCATTTCTTTTTTTTCTTTCGTTTCATCTCGACATATCGAAAGAATGAAAAACAAATAATCAGCCATCTTTAAGTTGAAATATCTTCAAAATAAAATATTTTAAAATTTCTATGGCTGAACGAAAATAAAGATTACAACAATTCTATTTAAACTATCGATTAAGTTAACCATGAATTTATTTTACAACGATTGGACGGTCAGACGTTCGAAAGAATTTTCTGTGTCGAACTTTTCGATGACACGACTCGCGAGGACACGAAAAATAGAAGAAAGTATACTTTCCCTGATTTCAACTACGTCGACTAAGATTTTATCACATCCACTCTCGGGGATCGAATCATGGCGGTCCAATCCAACGTCGATTCTGCTTTCAATTTACAGCACTCCAATTTCAAATTCTCTCCCCGACGAAGAAACGTGGAAACTCTGCTAGGTTGTCCATTCGGGTACGAACTTCGAAGAAGAAAGTCAAGATACGTTTATCCTTATTTTATTCGCATTGACTTCGTGATTTTTTCTTCGAGAATTTTTTTAATTCAAAAGCGAAGATTTATGTTTCAATTCAATTTCTAAGAATAATTTCAGAACTGGAATAATTTTACGGAATTCTTCGAGGAAACTATCGATCTTGCTATCCATTTACAACGTTGGAAACATTAAACTTTCTTAGCTCTTAGAATGCAGAAAATTCGTTGAATTCCAACATCAAAGTTCGTGTTTCGCGAGAGAAAAGCCCAAGTATTTATCCTAATTTCGCTCATGCCAACTTCGGCATTGTCGTGTCCACTCCGTAAACCGAACCTTCTTGTCTTCATCTACTTTAAATTTACTTTAAACTTTCTTTATTCAAACTTTCCTTCAAACCCGAACTTTACAGAATATACGTTTTATCCAATTCCATTCTATTCATCTTCTATATTCACTCATATGAGTTCCTTTTTAAAATCACATCCAATCACGATTCTTCTTCTCAAGTCAGATCACTTTCGACCCATGTTTCCGATATTCAACATCTACAACAACTCGAACACGAATCAAAAATCATCGTCCACTTTACGTGTCAGCGATTCGACACTATTAAACACCATACCTTTATAATACACCATACACCCTTAAATCAATATAATTAAACGGATCCAACAAGCAAAATATTCAAATTACGATCCAATCCAAACCCATTTCGTTCCATTAAATATTACACCATTGTTCTCGCATTCACACGTAAATCACACGAACCGCAAAATCTCACGACGCCTGTACCAAACTCCTGCCATTCTCCCATTCTACTCCATCATGGGGGGCGCACAGATCCTCCAACCCGCTTCCGGGGACTCGGGCTATCGGAAGGCCACGTGGCGCACACGCGCATAATTCCACATCCCGCGCACACACACACACACACGCACACGGACGCGCGCACGATTCGAATCTCATCAAACACCGCGGCAGCCGCCTTTAACTGCCTCAGACGGGCCGTTTAACCCGGCGGACATGGG